TGTTTTTGGCTGCCACGGCCTCTGCTCACTGCCAGCGGTTTGATCCTGACTGGCTCAAGGTTGACTCATCATCCTTCCAAGGCTGGTAAAATGAGAACCCAGTTTGTTGGGGGCAACAGGCTGACTCTGTAAACTGCTTAGACAGAGCTGTAAAGGACTATGAAGATCCTATATATAAGATCCTGACTGTCTCAAGGTTGATTCAGCTCGAGCTTCGTTTTCACTGGCAGAGGGTTGCAGAAAGCCAGGGCAGCCAAAAAGAGAGATCAGGAGCCCATTTTTGCTGGCAGAAGCACTGCAGGCCAGGTGCTGGTCGCTACCTATAAAGCCCTACATGGCATCGGACCTGGGTACCTGAGAGACCGCCTCCTGCCGATTACCTCTCTCAGACCAAGAGGGGAAGGTTGTTGAGAAGGTGGTGGCCTTTCAGCTCCAGCGGTCCTTGGAGGAAGCCAGTTATCTCGGTCCTTTCCAGTCAGGCTTCAGACCTGGCTGTAGCACAGAAACCNATAATAATAATAATAATAATAATAATAATAATAATAATAATTACTATTATTATTATTATTATGTGTCAGAAGCACCAAGATGCCTCTGGGCTGAAAGGATTAGCCAATGACATCACCATCGCCCGGGGGACGCCCAGTTGAGAGCTCCTTTCATGTCCCCAGCAGGAGCTGGAGTGAAGGACGAGAACTTAACCCCGTAGCTGTGGGTCTCGAACATGGGCTTGCTAACCTCCTGCCCAGCGTTCCAGCCGCTCAAGCCACTGTGCTCCTACCATGGAATTAAATGAATACAATTAAAGCTGAGAGCCACTGCTTATCTTTTCAAGAGAGATGAAGCTGATAGGACTCAACAGCTATCATTTGCGATTTGCAGGCCTGGTGTTGTAAAATCGCCTTAAGGAGGCAGGTTGCTCATAGAAATGTTTAAAAATGTGACTATTCCAAGTGCAGTTTGCATATGTTGCTATGAAGTCCTCCCTCCCGCCCTCCCTCCTTCCTTCCCTCCCTCACTCATTCCTTTCTCTTCCTTCCTTCCTTTCTCCTCCTTCCTTCCTCTTCCTTCCTCATTCCTTCCTCTTCCTTCACTCCTTCCCTCTCCCTCTCTCTCTATATATATGTTTGTGAGTGTGTGTACATGTATACAAATATAATCATAAATACACACACACTTGCACACACGCACACACACACAGACACACAAACAGTACATATATTTTACACACACAGTGGCAAACCTAGTAAACAGATCTTCAATCATAACCAGACACGGAGGGATCTTCTAATGTCATTTTTTTTTTAACCATGCAAACTTCGTGAAGTGGAACATTAAGGTCATTAAGTGTCGTCTCTGTTTAAAATATACTTAAAATATTCTAGCTGACATCTGTCGCCCTCAGTTATTTAACAACGTATGGAGAACTTGTCCCTGGTGGTCTAATGAACACTGTGGCATGCATATCAATTTGAATCATTTTGAATCCAATCCTTAACAGTTTACTCAGTGGAACTGGCTGGTTTATTGATCGCTCAAATGCCAATACTGCAATCGCAGACAATGTCATGGTTATTATACAAGCTCCCCCGAGAACGAGAAGGAACAAGGTTCTGTCATATGATCGTTAGACTAAACCAGAGTTGTCACTATTATTGGTTGTGTTACTCAGCGGTCCAGGGAAATCTCAAAAAATCAAAATCTACCCCCACTAAATGAAGGGAAAATCCAGTGGGATTCGGTGTCGCACAGCCGCAGGGTGAGTGGCGATGTGTAAGAGTTGCTGGTGCGATGCACAAGCAGATGAACATAAGTGACGCAAACGTTTGGCAAAACTAACGGAGTCAGAAGTAACAAGGTAATTAGATTAGATTAATCAAGTCAGTTTGATGGCAGTCCCCAACTGAAATCCAGGGGATCCTTTGAAACTCTAAGCAGAATCTTTACATATCCTAGCTGGTAGGAGGTGATCTCAGAGAAACGTTGCATTGGATGGCACCTCTGGATAAATGCGAAATAAAAATAGCTCTCAATCACTGGATAACAAAGGCAAAAAGAGAGAGAAACATCCTTGTAGTACAGCACATTCAAATGTAACCGGAACAAAAATTGGACAGAACGCAAGAGGAAAAATGCTGTTTTTTGAAGCAACTCGTTCTTTGCCCCATTACTTAGATTTGCCTTGAAAAAGGTGGGGAAAATGAAGGGTTTTTTTTTTTTGTTTTTTTTTTAAAAAGCAGAAATGGATGAATGTAAGGACAAGGGCAAGGAGCAAGATACACAAATTGGGGGGTGGGGGGGAATTCCAGCTTTCCACACAACCTTGAAAATAGATGCCACATGTTAATTGTCATATGAAGGTTAATGAAAAGGTTCCTTAAAACAATTTTTATTCTGTCATTGGGTAGAAAGAAGAGTGAGGTCAGCGTGTTCTCCAAAGCACCTGAAGGGTAGGACAAGAAGAAATGAGTGGAAACTAATCAAGGAGAGAAGCAACCTAGAACTAAGGAGAAAATTCCCTCATAGTGAGAACAATTAACTAGTGGAACAGCTTGCCTTCAGAAGCTGTGGGCGCTCCATCACTGGAGGCTATTAAAAAGAGATTGGACAACCATTTGTCTGGAATAGTATATGGTCTCCTGCTTGAGCAAGGGGTTGGATTAGAAGTCCTTCAAAGTCCCTTCCAACTCTGTTATTCTGTTATTCTGAATCTTGAAAAAAAAGCCAGACTGCTCCTTTACTGAAACTGCAAGTAATCACCTGATGGTTCCAAAGAAGTCATGAAAGAAAGAAAGAAAGAAAGAAAGAAAGAAAGAAAGAAAGAAAGAAAGAAAGAAAGAAAGAAAGAAAGAAAGAAAGAGATGGAGGAAGGAGGGAGGAAGGGAAGAAGAATGGAAGGAAGGAGGGAGGGAAGGAAGGATGGAAAGGAGGGAAGGAAGGAGGGAAGGAAGGAAGAAAGAAAGAAAGAAAGAAAGAAAGGAGAGATGGAGGGCAGAAGGAGGGAAGGAAGGAAAGACAGGAGGGAGGGAAGGAGGGAGGGAACGAAGGAAGGAAGGAAGGAAGGAAGGAAGAAGAGACAGGGGGAGGGAGGAGGGAAGGAAGAATAGAAGGAAGGAAGGAGGAAACGGGAGGGAGGGAAGGAAGGAAGGAAGGAATATGGAAAGAAAGAAAGAACACATGCAGAGAGAGAGAGAGATTATAANGAGGGAGGGAGGGAGGGAGGGAGGACACAACTAATTTTTGATGGTGATATCCCATTTTGTGTCCTTCAGTTTTCTTTTGATCCCCAAAATAAGCAGTTGGCCTTATTTTCAGGGAGGTCTTATTATTTTTGAGGTGCAGGAGGCGGTGAGCGTGGTCACCTCATGGAAGCTGCTGTGTTGCAATATTTTCGCGGAAGAGCTTATTTTAGCACATGTGTTCAAAAGCCTAGATTGGGCTTATTATCCAGGGAGGTCTTATTTTGGGGAAAACAGGGTAGCCAAATATTGATGTATTTCAATTTGGATTATATTTGTTTTGTTTTATCATTTATTCTGCTTATTTTTGTAAGTTGCCCTTTTAGAGTGAAGAAAAAACAAACCCCAAGCCTAGTATTCAAAGAAAATATTTAATAGACACCTGGTGATGATTTTCTTCCTGGCCTGGTGTAAAAGGCAACCTATTATGCATTATCATGAGCACTGAATAGTGCTCATTGTGCATAAATCATGAGGAATTGGGGCAGTGCTGGGATTCAATTTTTTTTACTACCGGTTCTGTGGGCATGGCTTGGTGGTCATGGCATGGTGGGCACGGCTTGGTGGCCATGGCAGGGGAAGGTCCTGAGGGCGTGGTTTGGTGGACGTGGCAGGGGAAGGTTACTGCAAAATCCCCATTCCCTCCGATCAGCTAGGATTCGGGAGGCAGCGAATAGATGGGGGCTTGGCCAGCCAGAAATGGTATTTGCTGGTTCTCTGAACTACACAAAATGTCTACTACCAGTTCTCCAGAACTGTTCATAATCTGCTGAATACCACCTCTGAATTGGGGGCTCTTCAATTCTGTCCTCATTTATAGAGATAAGGGAATTCACCTCCTTTCATTCTGTATTCCCTTAAGAAAGAGATGAGATCTCCCTATTGGTGCATTAGGTAGAAGAAAGCTAACAGACCAGATCTTTCCACAGATCTTGGCAAAGGCAAAGAGATCAGGTAGATAGACATACAATACAAAACGTTTTCAAAGGTTTCATAGGCATAAATAATGCCATGACTAATAATTGCCCTGCTGTCAAGAAAAATCATAACATCAAAACTGTGTGTATGCAAGGCATCGGGCAAGTGTTCAATGAGCAACATCACTAACATATCTGATAGCCGCTGAAATTCATCCTTGACAAGGGACGGAGCGCCTCAGCAAATTTCCTCTAATAAGGTCTCTCAGGGCTTGGTTTTCATAGCTACAACAAACAGGGAAAGGCCAAGTCCTCAGGCTTATAACGAGTCAACACAAAACAATGAAACCCAAGATCAAAGGAAAGGAAAGGGGAAGGGAGGGAGGAGAGGGAGGAAGGAGACAGACAGTGAGTTAGGAAAGAAGTGAGACAGGAAGGGGGGAAGGAAGGAAGCAATGAGAGGGAGAGAGGGAGGGAGACTGTCTTGGGAAGAAAGAAGATAAGAAGAAAGGAAGCAATGAGAGGAAGGAAGGAGAGAAAGAAGAAGAGAAAGAGGGAAAGAGGGAGGAAAGAAGGAGACAGACAGTGTTAGGAAAGAAGTGAGGCAGGAAGGAAGGAAGCAATGGCAGGGAGGGAGGGAGGGAGGAGAGGAAAATGGAGGGATGAAGGAATGAGACATAGCGAGTTATGAGAGAAGTGAGGCAGGAAGGAAGCAGTGAGAGGGAGAGAGGGAAGGAGGAAGACAGTGTCTTGAGAAGGAAGGGAGATAGGAAGGAAGGAGAGGGAGGAAGGGATGGATGGGTGGAAGGGAAGGAGTTAGGAAGGATTAGGTCCTTAGACTTACTGGTAAAATGGAGAGCTTGGGGAAGTTAAGCATGGTCTCCCATTCCCTCCTTAAATATTCCAGGGAGCCCACAAAGACGATGTGTTTGAGCTCGTGGTAGTGGAAGTTGCTGGCTCGGAGTGGCATCACAAAATTTCTCAGGCCTATCAGCGCCGACGTCATATCTCCAAATATACAAACCACCACATGGCCGCTGAGGACGGTCATAGCAGCTTCACTTCGGGTCTGGGGGGAAAAAAAACCAAAACCAGAATAAAAGGAGGAGAAAGGAGGAGTTAGAAGAAATGAAGAGTTTTCAAGGCCAGCAAAATTCATCAGTGGAAACAAGCACTCCTGTGCAGACCAGTGCATGAGAACACATGGAATTTGCTTCCACCATTTTACCTCAATGACATCTAACAGAGGATTAAATCAGTGGTGGGATTCACATTTTACTACCGGTTCTGTGGATGTGGCTTGGTGGGAGTGGCAGGGAAGGATAAGGCAAAATCCCCTTTCCCTCCCAATCAGCTGGAACATGGGAGGCAGAGAATAGGTGGGGGCAGGGCTAGTCAGTGGTGGTATTTACCGGTTCTCCAAACTACTCAAAATTTCCGCTACCGGTTCTCCAGAACTGGTCAGAACCTGCTGAATACCACCTATGGATTAAATGCTCCAAGCTTAGGAAAAAAAACCATAGTGTTTGGAAGACAAAGAATATGGTAGCTTTATATAGCTACAGGTAGTCCTTGACTTACAACACTTCATTTAGTGACCATTCAAAGTGACACTGGCACTGAAAAAAGTGACTCGGGACCCTTTTTCACACTTACGACCATTGCAACATTCCCACAAATTCAGATGCTTAGCCACCAGTTCATATTTATGACCATTACGCAATCCCCTTTTGCGACCTTCTGACAAGCCAATGGCGGAAGCCACATTCAGTTCACATAAGTGAGAACTGGGTGACTCACTTATCAACTGCAGTGATTCACTTAACAACCGAGGCAAGAGAAGTCATAAATTAGGGCAAAATTCACTTAACAAATTTCTCAACCTCGACAACAGAAATGTTGTCTGTTGTTAGGCTCAATGGCAGTCATAAGTTGGGGACCGCTTGTAGAATCCCGCATGGTTAGTGTAAAAGATGGGTCTCCAGTTCTGACAGCTTTAAGACCTGTGGAATTCAGCTCCCAGAATTCCCCAGCCAGCCATATTGAAGTCCACACATTTTAAAGTTGCCAAATTCAGACAACCCTGGTACAGAAGATATGAGCCAGATCTTCAAAATAGAGAGTGATGGTGAATATTTTTTGCACCAAGTGCCCAAACCAGAATGGGCATGCATGTGTGCGTATGCGTGCGATGGAGCACCAGAAACCCGAAGTCCAGTTGGCTGGTGCACAATGACCTGTTCTTTGGCCAGTTTTGGCCATTTTTCGGCCATTTTCAGGCCATTTTGGGGGGCATTTTCAGGCCATATTTTGGTGCTCCAGTGCCCGCAAAGAAAAATAGCCTCAAAACAGGCCAAAAAATGGCCGAGAAAATAGCCTGGTTTTTGGTCATTTTTAGGGCTGTTTTCAAGGTCCCCAGCATCCGCGAAGACCAGCTGGCTGCTCCAGCACCTGTGAAGAAAAATGGCCCCCATACACCTTGAAAATGGCTTGTTTTTGGCCGTTTTGGGGGCCGTTTTCAGGCAGTCTAGCACCCGCGAAGACCAGCTGGCTGCTCCAGCACCTGTGAAGAAAAATGGCCCCCATACACCTTGAAAATGGCTTGTTTTTGGCCGTTTTGGGGGCCGTTTTCAGGCAGTCTAGCACCCGCGAAGACCAGCTGGCTGGTGTGCATGTGCGTGCCAGAAACCAGAAGAGCAGCTGTTGACAGCACATGTGCCCACAGAGAGGTTTCTGCAAGCCACCTCTGGCATGCATGCCATAGGTTTGCCATCACGGATATAGACGCTATCTCATTCACACATTCTACCCAGGAATGGAGTAAGAAGGGATGACATTGGGGTGACAGAACATAAATAATAGTTGGCTGTTTGATCACACCATTATAACAATCATATTGATTTTTTTTACCATCTCCTGTCAACACCTCAGAATGAAACTCTCAGCCGAACTTACATTTCGATAGGGAAGTGTTATCATTTATGACAAAGATCCACTGGAAAAAGGAAACATTTATGTCATCTTGTAAGATTATTCTTATAATTCTGGTGGAATTATTTTCAGGTCAATGCATGTTGGAACCCCTTCAAGGGCACTGAAGTTATGAACGCTGATGCTATGATTACACAGTTGAACTAACATCATCTTGCAAATCTGAATCTTCTTGCATCCTTTAAATGCAAATTTCCTTTGGAAATACTATGGAATGGAACGGATAGTGGGAAGAATTATTATTATTATTATTATTATTATTATTATTATTATTATTATTATTATTATTATTATTATTATTATTATTATTATTATTATTATTATTATNTAAGGCAGGACAAGAAACAATGGATGGAAACCAATCAAGGAGAGAAGCAATCCAGAACTAAGGAAAAATTTATAACAGTGAGAACAATTATCAAATGGAACTGCTTGCTTACAGAAGCTGTGGGACCTCCATCACTGTAGGCTTTTAAGAAGAGACTGGACAGTCACTTGTCTGGAATGGTATAGGATCTCCTGCTTGAGAAGGGGGTTGGACTGGAAGACCTACAAGGTCCCTTCCAACTCTGTTATTCTGTTCTTTTATTTGTGCTTTTAAAGAAAAAGAGGAGGAGGGTAGCCAGTGGTGAGGTGGAGAAGGAGAAAAAAAAACCTAAAAGGCCAGGCTGAAGACAATCATTTTGGAGAGAATATTTCCATATGTTCACAAGAACTTGACATTGACTTGATGGTGCTTAATCGATTAATCAATCAAGACATTGAAATGGGATTTTAAAGATCCAAAAGGGAGCATACACAGCATTCCCTATTGAGAATACATCAAAATGACACCAGGTCTTTGGTGATATCATGACATCAATCCCATTTGCATTTTGATGTTTTACATAATGCATGAAAACAATAACAACAACAGAGCAGTCTCAAGCTCAGATAAATGTTTTTTTCCCAAGCCCCTTAATTCTGAATTGCACTTCTGGATTCTCAGCTGTGGTGAGAATAATTCTTGCATTAGACAGTTTGTTTCCAATAACAAGATTTTCTGAAGGAGTTGTGCCGTTTTGGAGGCATTCTCTAGGTTCTCCCTTCCAGGCTGAACCTTTATTTCTCATTAAAAGAGAGGTTGGAAATTCCAGGAATACTTGACTATCCTAACTTGGTTTTCTTTGGAAAGAAGTCAAGTAGCTGAGGTCAGATCACTCTCACACAGGCATTAGTCTCAGAAGAGTCCAAATCTAGTCAGCTCGTTACAAGCCAAGAAAAATAATACTGCTTCCAAAAGTGTTGGAGGTGTAGAAATATGGGTGACGTATAGGCAATGGTTAAGAAAACCACAGAGTTGAAAGACCTAGATGCAGAGCATAAGGTGGCCTGAATCAGTCTTCAATAAACCACTTTTGTTGTAAACTTGGAAGTAAAATTTGGAATGTCTCAGTTAATGTTCATTATTATTGTTATGTGATTCTGATTCTTGAGAAAATCAATTTTCTTTCCAAGCTAGAACTCTCCACCCCTCTTCCTTCACTTGCCAATGGTAGTGAAGGCTGTGGATCAGGACTGGTACTGATTAGCTGAATAGGTAAATACAGAAGGATGAATCTTCAGATCAGGAAAAGGAAGAGCCTCTACCCAGGGGTGTCAAACTCAAGGCCCGGGGGCTGGATCCAGCCTGTGAGGGGCTTAGATCTGGCCCACAGGACCAACCTGGAAACAGCAAAAGACCAGCCCGCAGTGCCTCTGCCAGCGAAAATGGAGCTCAGGAGGGCTGCTTGTGGCCCTCTCAAGCTCCATTATCACTGGCAGAGGATTGCAGGAGGCCATCCCAGCCAAAAATGGAACTCAGGAGCTCGTTTTCTCTGTCAGAGTGCTCATGCTACCATAGGCGCACCCGACATGAGTGACGTCGAACTGGCCCCCAGAGGTCAAACACAACCCTGATGTGGCCTCCAATAAAATCAAGTTTGACATCCCTGCTCTACATCTTCATTATAAGAGCCGCAGTGGCACAGTGGTTAGAATGCAGTACTGCAGGCTATTTCTGCTGATCACCAGCTGCCAGCAGTTTGGCAGTTTGGGTCTCACCGGCTCAAGGTTGACTCAGCCTTCTTTCTTTCTGAGGTCAGTAAAATGAGGACTGAGATTGTTGGGTGTAATATGCTGACTCTGTAAACCACTTACAGAAAGCTGTAAAGCACTATAAAGTGGTATATAAGTCTAAATGCTATTGTTATTATCTGATTATCTTAAATAAGTGGAAAGGATCCATAATAAACATGACAGTAATATTTCAAAATATTTATTTAGATTCCCTAAAAGCCTATTCACGTAATTCTTATCTAAAGTATATAACATTTTCTAATAAAGCATGTGCTTCTCTTCAGTATTCGAGAATCTGAAAAGTCTGTTTTGTTTTGTTTTTTGGCTATTATGTGCCAGAATCCCAAATAATGAAGTATTATATATTAACTGGTATATTTTAAACAGAATTAAGGGGAAGGGATTGCTTGCAAATATTACTGAACACAAATATAAAATTAAAAGAGCAGTACCTATATCTTGTTACATGTTATTCTCTGTGAGGTTTAATTATAGAGTTGGTTTATGTAGGGAGGAAGATGTTAAACAGTGTGAAAACTAAACTCGGCATTTTGCCTAAATTTTTTATAGCTTCAGAGTTAATAATGCAAGTCTAATAAGTAAAGTACAAAATTACAAAAGGCAAAAAAGAAACTGCACAATAATGCATTTCTAAAAAGAATGAGACTCTGAGAGAAAAGTTGGAACAACAAATATATAACATATGGTTATTTTTGAAGCCATGATTTTGGCTCTTAAAACTCTTGAAATGGGAAGCAGGATATGTCATTCTGACAAGTCAGATTCTAAAGTGCAGACTGAGGGGGGGGAATGAAACATTGCCCTCCCATCAGCAACTATGAGTGAAACATAAACATATGTTATATATTTG